CCCAATGGTTTTTGGAGATTTCGGCGTGCGCGCGCGAAGAAAAAACGAATGTGTCCCGCATGGTATTATTTGACAGGGATGATGGCCCTGGCAGGTGCGCAACCGTTGTCGCAGAAGTTCGAAAAAGTTGCTCGCAAAAGCCCGTTTGACAGAAATGTTTAAAAAGTGTTGGTTTTCCTACGAATCCGCAAGAGCGCGCGGGATGAGATTTTGACATTTTTTTGTTGAAAAACCATTGGTTTTTTGATGTTTTTATGTTAAAATCGCTCCGAACACTAAGCTTTTGGAAGGATTTCGTCTTGCGCGCGCGAATGTCCACTTTACCTTATTTTTTGCAAGGGATTCTTGAAATTTGATTATATTAGAACAAGAAATGTCATTTTATAGTGTTTTTTGCAAGGGAAAACGGATTACAACAAAACAACCGGATCTGGACCCCATCCACTTTTCTGAAGCTTTCGCGAAAAAAATGATGAAAATGTAGCTGCGGCCTAGGCGCGGCGGGGGGGCCGTGCACCAGGGGTCCCAACAATAATTATTCTTTAGAATTAATAATGTTCAACGAACAACAGCAAGTAACGATCATGTTGCGAGTGCTCGATCCTACCAGCCCGCGAGCCTCTCCACAGACGCACAAGAGAGGCGAGGGGCCGCCTCCTCCCGGGCCCCGGGACCTCGCAGGCACCAGGGCGGCCCGGCAGTCCGCCCCCGCCCCCCGACTACGACCCCCTAGGGACCTGGGCCACCCTGCCGAAGGCCGACCTCCCCCAGCGAGAATGAAGGGGAACTGGGACATACAAATAAATACACACGAATCAAAAGATCCCCCATAGCTTCCCATATGTTCGGGGCTTCTGTCGTCCCCCCCACTGCCCATAGTTTCCCACATTTTCTGGGGGATCGACGATGAATTGTGTCTGTGTGTTTTTTTCCCCTCCTGAGAGAAGCGAAGGCTGCAGACACCTCCGACCTCAGCACCTCCCCCTCGGCAGCAACCCCCGCCCCCGACCAGCCGCGCGGCGGCCCCGCACCCTGGGAGCAGACGGACGAGGCAACGTCGACCCACCCAGGAGCAAGCCCACCACATCACCATTGTCCTCCAGCTCCCCCGACGACCGCAGGGCAACCTCGCGCGGGCCCCTGACCGCCGGCAGCCGCGGTTCCTCGCAGCAAGCCTCCGCGCGGCGAGACAGGACTCATCCGGCGGCCGCCGCGCCGGCTCCCGCAGCCCCCTCCCCTGGGCGCGTCGCCAGCAGAGCGGGTCGGCCTCTGCGCCAATGGCGAGCGGCAGCTCACGGGCGAAACAGACAGCCGACCCCACGACGCCCCCCCCTAGCCATCTGGGTGGCCCCCCTGGCGTTAACCCTCCGGCATGCCCCCGCCTGAACGCGAGGGCCACTGCCACCCTGCAGGCGGCCAATCACATCCATCCTGACAAAAAGCCCGGGACTGCTGACAACGCGATCGCACAAATCATGGAGGCGTTTGCCCGAGCAGTCTCCCCAGAGGTCGACGAGCGCTGGAGGACGTGGACGGCGGGGAACGCTGACCCCTCGCTACGCAGCATGGGACCCCTCTCTGACCCCAGAGCTTGGCCCGAAGCGTGCTGCCAGGAGTTCCTGGCCTCCATCTACGGCGAGTCCACCCCGCCGTCTGGGATCCCCACGGGAGTCCACGGGGCGGTAAGCGCGCCATCCTGACCCTCCTGGTTAACCACCTGCATCGACGGATCTCCCACGCCCCCGCCAGCTCGCGCAGGGCGCCCGACATATGGGACGCGCGCCGTGCCAAGCACGACCCCAAGGCGCCCGGGGAGGGACGGGGCCCTGCATGGCATAACCGGGAAATCTTGCTCGGCCACTTGGAGTCAAAGGGGATAATGTCGCCGCGGCACCCACGCGCGCAGGACTTCCGTGCAACTGCCGCAAGGAAGAGGCCCACCCTCACGGAAGCCACCCCCAGCACTCCCCCGCGAGCAGCAGCTGCCAGCCCTCGAGATTCAGCGCCCCAGGAAGAGTCGACGGCCCAGCGCCCCAGCGGCAGCTCCCCGCACGCGGAGCCATCCAGACTGCCGCCCCCCCGGCACCGCCGAGGCCAGGCGCGGAGCGGCGCGCCCCGGGCCAATCCCCTACCTCCTCGGGGCGCAGAACGGCGCCAGTCCGCGCCAGCGGCAAGGATGGGCGCACTGAATCGTCCGAAGCCCCCCCCCCCCGAGGCTCGGCGGGGCAGGCAAGGAAGGGCCCCAGCCCCCCCTCAGCGATCAGCCTCTCGCGGGCCCTCCCGCAAATGCCCCTGGAGAGCCTCTCCCGGACAGTCTGGCTAGCGGGCGTTCTGGGAGAAGGCGCAGCCCTGGTAACTCCCCTCAGCCAACGGCCACCGCGCCCCCATCCTCCAGCCCCGTTCGCGCTGAGGCCCCACTGGCAGATCAGCCCTATCCCAACGCCTCGCAGACCGCAGAAGAGGAGCCAGTGCGCAAAACCCCCAGGACCAGCGAACAGCGCAGCCCAGGCGCACCCCAGAGGTGGCGCGGACGAGGCTCAGCGGAGCGCGCCCCGCCCTGGAGACGGGAGCCGGCACCGCGTCACCCGCCCCTTTCACACTGCCCGCGCCTCAGTCGGACAACAATGACGGGTTCTACAGCAAGCCGAGGCACCAGGTGACCTGGTGCCCGACCTGAAACCACCGAGCCAATGCAAGGGATGACTGGAGAGCGGCGATCAACCGCCTCAAGAAAGATCGTGGCACCATGCTGACCATCGGGTGGAATGCCATCTGCGACCAGGAGTCTGGACCCCACTCCGCCAAAGACCCCCGGCGTCACAACTCTGAACTCAGCCAAGGTTTCATACATGACCTCAGCGAGGCCAATTACGACGTGCGCAGACATTGCTGGAAGAAAATCATACAAGTTGATTGGCACGCTGAATGGTATCGCGAACTTGACAAGCGAAAACAAAGCTCTGACCTCGCCTCACGTCAAAGGGAAGCGGCCGGCGAACTCCTCTTGAACCGGCAACGAGCCGTCCGCCAGCGCGGGTCAGCTTCCCGCAGCCACCGCTGGTTGCGCGCAGCCAGCCGCCCTGTCATCTCGTCCTGTACTGAGCTTGACATCCCCGCCCTGGCAGTGGCCTCCCTGGCCGCTGCCCCCCCCATCTTGCCTTCGTGGTTTTCAAACATCGTGCACCTATATGGTGCCCCCCCGCAGGCCCAGGCCCCCAGCCCTCGCTCGGGGCCTGCCCGCCGCCATGTTCCCCCCGCCCTCGTGGCTGCTTTCTTTTTTTGGATGCAACATCCATGCCTCTGAAAGTGACAGCTTGCTCCAACAGCCAGAGGCGCACTGAGGGCAAGCGAATCACCTGCAATTATAATAGCGGGATGAATTCGTCGATATCGACCGAGACACCCCTCTTATCGGGGTGCTGTCCTTTACGGAGCCGTCTCAAATTTCTGAAACCTGTCTCCGTGGGGGGCCCGCGCTTACGGGACAAACCCAGGACCTTTTTCACCGCTAGAATAAAACTTGCACGACATGCACAAGTACAGGTGGCCCTTGTCACTGCAAGGGAAGGCAATGACTCGATGGCCTAATCTCTCCAACAGTCCCTGGTCCAAACGGGATTGCCCAGGGCACGTTCCTCCCAGCGGCTTAGCCTTCGCACGGGAACCGCGAAGGCACACACGACACCGCCAGGAGGAACCTTGTTGGGACCAGTCGTGGACGAGCTCTAAAAGGGGAGCCTTCGAGTCGAGCGGCGGAGGGCAGCGCAACAGACCTCGAAACTCCAACTTCGGCCAAAGTGGCAAGAGCTCCGCTCCCGCAAGCAAGATCGCCCTTGATACTAGAATCTGATGATCGAGGGCCTCCTGCTCCGTTGGGGACATGGCAGGGTGCTGCTTTGCACCCTCCTTCGCATAGACGTCAGCGAAGAAGTTCCCTCTTCGCACGAATCTCTCATGCGAGGGGAGCCCTTCCTCGTCAGCATCTTTGTGGGCCTCAACCTTATCTAAGGAGACTAGGTTGGTGCCAAAGTAACGCCCAGCTTGAATGATCTGGCCAGCATACTGACGCCTGGCGCTGACGCCGTCGGCAGCTCCTAGATTCATTAAATGGACCACATTAGCACAATCAGAATAACACAGGGCAGGGCCTTCGGTTTGCACAGCGGTCCAGGCCAGGGCCCCAAACTCGGCACCCTGGGGCGTCTGAGGCCACGGGGCCCACAGAGGACCTTTCAAAACCCCGAGGCGCTCACCCGAACTCGAAACCATGACAACAGCCCAGCCAGCCCTAGAGAGTTCACGCACTACATGACGATGGCACGAGCCATCCATAAAGAGGTGCCCCCAGAGCCCCACGGAGGGAGGAATAGAGGGAGCAGCAGCAAGGTCCCCAGGGCCAGGAAGAACATCAACAAACCATTCCAGGCTAGTACCTCCTTCAGTGAGTGGCGGTGGGGCATAGTCTCCAGGATGTTTGAAGGCACCATACAAGTACAGACACATGTCGACATGATCTGCACCTAGCTCCAACGCTTCATTCTGAATACTTTTGTCAAGCACCGCTTCCCTCACAGACTGCGCAGACGGGCACGCGAAGAGCCTGTGGAAGAGGGTCTCGCGGTCCTTGCTGCACAACGCGCACTTGTCAGAAAAGTCATACCCTGCCGCTGCCACATCGCTTGCCGTCCAGCAAGCTCTCGTGGCCTGAGCTCGGATCCAACCTTTGGTTTTGCTAGAAACCTTCCTGGAAGACATAAACTGTTTGACCGCGTCCCAGCAAAGCCTGAAACCACAACCGTATTTATCTCCCGACTCCCTTTCAAGACCCCGAAGATGAGCTTCCTTACAGTAAAGCTTGACAAGCTTAGGGGACGACAGGGTCAAGGAGATTTCGCGGCCAAAGTCGTCAACAAAGGTGCAAAAATTGGGCATGGTCCAGCCCAGCCTGTACCAGGTCACACGCAGGGCAGAAATCGGCCCAGCCACTTTGGACCAAGAGTGGTCATCCGACGCAGAGACAGCGCTCCAGCCGTCCCTGAGTTCGGCCCAGCTCAACGTCCAGGGAAACCCATGAGTGTGCAGGGTCCAGACCTCCTTGGCCCAGCGGATGACAGGCGCGCAACAGCCCCTCCACGTAGGGTCATCCGAGAGAAGACACAAGACACTGAGGGACCTGCCCTGGGCTCTGGGTTCAACCGTCGACATGGCCATCCTTCTGAGATTAAGAAGCTCCCTGTCCGAAATCCCAAACAAGTCAGAGCCGTACACAGCTCCCGCCATCGGTCCCGCCGCGAAGACCTTCAAGCACTTGCGGCCAAGGACCTGCTGGAAGCCCTTCAGCTTTTTGGTCTTCCTCAGCGTAGCCGCAGCTCTAGATTTCAATTTGGCCGAGCGCCCTTTGGAACGAACAGGTCTGCCCGAAGTGAAATCCGAGCCCAGATTGGTAACCCGAGAGCAGGCTGGTCCAACAGGAGGCCCCAGGGTCTCCGTGAGCTTTCTGGAAACATCAGGGGAGTTGCTGATCATCCCCACTTTGTCCATGGCCAGCTTGCACTCGAGCGTCGCCGTGATGGCTCGGTGGAGCGCCTTGGCTCCCGCCGTGAGGCTGGCAACTACAACCTTAGCAGGACCCGCGCAGCTGAGACTGAGGTCATCGACGTAGGCGTCGAAGTCGGTCGTGGCTCCTGGGCCCTTGGGAATCGAAACGAGGGCCTCATCGAAAGCCTGCATGGCAAAAACGCGAATGAGGCTGGTCGCAAAAGAACAACCCGCCACTAAACCTTTGGAAACGAAATACGGGCCCTGGATGATGCCCCCGAGGGCCAGAAAGCGAGCACACGAATACGCCCTGATGGCCAGTCTCGCCAGAGGCAACGGGAAATGAAATTGCACGCACTGCTGCCAAAGGTACCTCAGATCAATGTGCTCATAGTACTTCCTGAGATCCCAGAAAATGGAAGCCGACACTTCTCTCTTGCGAGTACCCGCTTCGGCCCTGAAAGCCTGCCTCCAAACAACACCCCCCGCTCCCCTGTTGGCCCCAGCAGCCCAGTACTTTCTGGGGTAGGCGAGCTCCCACTGGAGAGCCTCCTGACGACGGGCGCGACCCCAAAGGCGGTACAGGCTCGGGAAGACCCCGATGGGTCTGAACCCACCCGTCGGCTTGGCCAACAAGGCCATCAGCACCCACGAGAGCTGCTTGGGCAGCTCGCCAGTGGCTTCCCAAACAGCAAACCACAGGGCCAGGGCATGCAAAGCCTCATCGGGGAGAAGGCTAAAATGCCGACAGTGGAATCCATCAACGCTCACCGCAGAGGAGGTGCGATACTTTTTGGAAAAAAAACATGGAGCTCGGCAGGCTCTAAAATTCGCCCATGGGGCAAAAGGTCATGGCCCACACCAATGCCTTTGCCGGTGCCCCAAATAGACGCAAACTTGTCGCCTTCGGCCTGCAGTAAAGACACTGGGTCGCAAACTATGGTACCACATCTGGCTAAGGTGGTGGAGGGTTTCCAGGGTTCAGGGTCTTTGATGGCCCTCTAAGCGTTGCGACCACCAGCATCAATGCCCGTACGCACCCACTCTTGCCACTCTAGCCGCGAGGCATTCGCAGCGGTGACCTTAGCAGCGGCGACGGCTTGAGCTACCTGATCGATCAGGTCGTCCAGATCAGAGCCGAGCTCAGGATCCAGCACAGGAGAAAAGGCGCATCTAGCTAGGGCCGCACTGGCCTTGAAGAGCGAGTGGAACTCAGAGCTCTCCTGCACCGCCACGGCCGACGGAGGCTGGAGGATCGAGTTGAGCACCTGTCGTCCAGCCTCCTGCAAGACCGAATCCGAGAGATAGCACCTAACTGCACGAAGCTGATTACACAGCCAGGAAATAGACCGTAAACCAGGATCTTTTTCACGCCCCGCTGGGCGGAGCACCGACTTCCAGAAAACCTGGGGCCGCTTGCCCCTAGTCCCCAAAACCTTGAGATCGGCCCCCAGGAAGTTGGCAAGGTCTTTTTCCGCAGCATCAGCCCAAAACTTGTATCCAATGCCCAAAAGCCTGCGCGCTTTTCCCGCATCCCCGTTAGTGACCGCCCCAAACGCTTATTCGGCCAAACCAAGCGCAGCACTCCAGTCGCCAGACTTGGGCGAAGGGCCAACAGGAGGGAGCACAGGCAACGAAGGGGGTTGGCGGAAGGCAAGAGCCTTGAGATCGCCCAGGGAGCTGTGAAAACGAAGCGACACTGGGCGATGCGGAGTGATGCTGGAGTCACCTTCAACATAGACACTCTTGAGACAGAGGCTGAGAGCCTCCGACACAACAAAGAAATCAAAACGATCAGGAGGCCCCTGCTGGGGAAGTGGGTGTGACCTTCAGGAACAATCGTACTGGCCCTAAGCTTTTTGCCAAACCCGGAAGCTTCAATGACCTCGGGGCTCATGTTCCAATCCGCCCCCACGATAAACTCACAACCCACGGAATCTAAAAATTCCCCGACAACCCTCAACGTTTCTCTATTGGAATCCGAGAGACCTTCACTGTGGACAAGGTAGAGGCTGCAGACACAAAACGGAGCACACCCTGGAACGTGAACCATGGTGGCGATAGCTCGACCAGGAACGAGAACAGCATTCCCAGCAGCTTCGAAAAGCCCAAGGCCATCTCGAACACAGACGCAAACTCCCGAAGATACGCCTCCTCCCTCTCCAAGCAGGCCTGACGCCCACAGCGTTTTCCATCCCAGAAACTTGGACGACTTCGAAGCTTGGTCCAGAGCACAGGGATCTTTAAGCCGATGTTCCTGAGCAATAACCACATGCGAACTGGCCGAGGATAGAAAGTTCTTGAGAGTGCCCCAGGAGTTGGCGTTCACTGTAGTCACGAGAAGACCCTCGTCAAGCCTGATGCAGCCGTCGGCAGCACCCTGGGCAGCTGGCGTGGGGGCTGAGGTCACTGGAAGCCGTTCGTCATCTGGGACGGGCCTCATGCAGGACCAGGCCCTGGCGGAGCTAGCACCAGGAAAAATGGCATCGGATTGCGGCAATCGTGCGACTGGAGAACCTTCACGCAGAGCTTCACCAGCCTTCACGCAATACTGCTTCTCGACCGCCCCAGGCAGAGGCAGAGAGGACATGCGAGAGGCTCATGGGCTGTCTGGGGGTACCCGAATTTCAGCACAGGAGAGCGGGGCGTCGAACGAGCCCCCGAGATCGCAAAACCCAAACAACAACCTTAAACGCTTGGAGAGACGAACCCCAGAGGCCTGAGACCTGGAGCCTATCACAGACACTCTCGAGGCTAAAAAAATAAAAAGATCACAGGGGGGTTTCAAACCTGGGCCCCCGCCCTCAGATTCCTGCCCCCCGCCACCTCTAAGACGCAGCAGGGGGCTCAGAGTCCTTGAGAGCCTGGTCGACCTTGGCTCGAATGTCCTCTTGCGGTGCAGCCGAGGCCTGGCCAGCCTCGGCCGCCCCCGCAGCTGACGCAGCGGCCTTGGCACCTTCAGAAGGCGCCCCTGCTCCAGCTCCAGCCGCGGCAGCAGCATCCTCAGGAGAACCTCCGACAACCTCACCCTCCGTGGTCTTCCGCTTTTTCCCACCACTCGAAGCCGATGAGCTTCATGCTGTTCACGAAGAGCCTTAGCATGCGATGCGACCTGAGCGAAGAGGTCCCTGGCCAACTTGGTGACCCCAGACGAGAGGTCCTCCTTCCTTTTCTGGAACTGCTCGAGGTCAGCCACGTCCACGTCATTGTCCGTCGTGAGATCCTCCAGCATGTGGCTGCAGTCGATGATCTTGGCAAAATCCACATCGCCTGCCACCAAATCCTCGAGCTTGAAAGAAATCGACTGAGTCCGCTCCTCTGTTGGCTGAGGGGGCCCTTGCAGGGCCGCCAACGTCTGCTTGTAGTCCAAATCCGCCTGGTCGAGATGAACCCGAAGCGACCGCAGCGAAGCTTCCGCTTCGACGAGTTGTTCCCGAAGACGCGTGACACGGCCCAGCTGCTGCTCCATTTGCTTCTCCAGCTTGCGCACCATGGAGTGAGCCTGCTGCCTCCGCGTGTGGTCCGAGACAACCACAGGCTTCGCTGCCGCTTCCAGATGCTTCGCCATGTCAAGGTACTTGGCAGCCGCTCCGACATCTCCCGCCTTCTGGAGCGATTCGCCCAAGGCCTTGGCCTCGGCCGCTGTGATGGCAGGCGCTGGTCCCACAGGAAGTGGAGGAGTGCCTCCTCCTGCTCCGCCAGCACGCGCATCTCCTTGATGGGCCAGCACATCCCACATCGTCTGGTCGCCGCCAAAGTAGCCCTTACCTTTGCCTTTGCCACTGGGCCCACGGCCTCCACCTTTGCCCCCGAAGTTCTGGAAGACGGGCCCCTTGCCGCTGAAGCCGTTCCCGTACCAGAAGCCAGGGGGGCCAGCCGCGGCCCAGCGTCCTCCAGCAGGTGGCCCATCACCATGAAACAGCCGAGGGAGAGGATGAGCACAGTGCTTGCAATGCGAGGCATTGACGCTGCTCTTCTTGCAACCGCAGGATGGGCAGGCGAAGCTCGAGACTTGAGCCTGGCCACGGCGACCTCTCGCAATAGACCATCCCTCGCCATCAACCTGCGGCTTGACCCAGGGCGCATGTGGGAAAGGGGCTGGCACCATCGGGACGTGATGCCGAAGGGAATGCTCCAACAGGAGCTCACAAAACTCGCCAGAAATCCTCGTCTGACCAGGCAAACGAGGGGCACTGTGGGGGCCGCTGCTCCCCCTTGCCAGCAAGGTCAGGTCCTGTGCCAAAACGGCTCCGGACTTGAGCCAAAATGGCTACGGAGAGTCGTGGCTGCTTTCCATCGCGCACCTGATCGGCGCCCCCCCCGCAAGACTCCAGCTCTCGCTCCAGGCCTGCCTCCTTCTCGCGCCCATGCGTGGAGCCCGCCGGCGCTCTTGCCGGCGCTTGGCGGGTCCCCACCGTTGCCGCCCTCTCCGGGCGGGCCCTGTCGCAGCAAGCTCGTCTTGCCGCCCGCGCACGACCTCCAGGCCGCCCCTCCCGCCCGCCTTGGGGCGCCCTGCTCCGCCGCTGCACCCGGCCTCCTGGGGCGCCGGCCTCCTGCAAATTTTGTCCAGGCCCTGCCCGCGGCACCCGCCTGGCCGTTGCCGTGCTTCGCCGCCCGGGCGACACTCGCCACGTCGCCTGCGCCCCCCCCTTCTGCCTGGTTTGCTGGCCACCTCCTCAGCACCGGCTACTGGCGTCTGGCCACCGTCGCCCCTTTGACACCTCGCCGATGCCGGCTACTGCCCAGTTGGCTCTCTGCCTTCAGGCCCACCTGCTCGCGCACTTGGCTCGCCGCCCCCCACTGGGCGTGGCTTTCATGCCCGCCGCTGGCTGGCGTTCGACGCCGTCGCCCCTCCCCCTGGTTTTGCCTGCCCTGGGCCCGCCGCTCCCCCACTTGGCGGTGCCCCTTCTGCGCCCTGGGCGCCGCGCCGATGCGCCCCGCTGGGCCGCCCCTCATTCCGCGATTTCATGGGTGTGCCTGGTCTCGGCGCCCCCCACCGTTGCCGACGTCGGGGTGCCTTCCCGTCGGCGCGGGTCGATGCTCTGGGCGCTCGTCTTTCCCTCCCTTCCGCCGCCTTTCTTTGGCCGCTCTCGCACTGCTCTGCACCGCTCTGGGCGATGCCACTGCCTGCCTTCCGCCCCTCCCTGCCCGCGCCTCGCAGGCCCGCAGGTCTCGGCGACTTGGCTCGTCCTTGGACCGCGCCTTGGTCCACTGGGTTGGGCACCGCCCCCTTTGGCCCCCCCCCTGCTACTTTTCTGTGCCGCTCGGCACCAGCTTCAGCCATGTCCAGCTCAGCTCAGCGCCGTCCAGTACTGGCCCTGGTGCCTGCATGCGGCGCGGCGCCTGCAGCTGGGGCGGATCAGTAATGACCGTCGCCTTCCGTCTCCTCGCAAGCGCCTCGCAGGCCCGCAGGTCTCGGCGCATTGGCTCATCCCTGGACCGTGCTCGGTCCACCAGGTTGGGCTCTGATTCGTTTCTCTTCACCACCAAGTGCAGCTCCAGGCTGTCCCCTCCAGCTTCAGCTCAATGCAGCTCAGTGAAGCCCGCGCCGGCTCTGCCCCCCCTCGGCGCCCCCTCCGCCGCAGCCGGCAGCTCTGAGTGGCCTGGCTTCCTCTCTTCCCGTCGCGCCGGGGTTCCTCCTCCTTCTTCTGTGCATTGCGACCTTAATTTGCATACAGCGTGTCTCCTGTTGCCAATCCGCCAGAACAGCCTCCCTCTGCCCGGCCGCCGACGCAAAAGTGTGTGTTTGTGCGTGGTGCGTAGTGTGTGTGTGTGTGTGAGTGTGTGTGTGTGAGTGTGTGTGTGTGTGTGTAAGTGTGTGTGTGTGTGTGTTGTGTGTGTGTGTTGTGTGTTGTGCGTGTGTGTTGTGTGTCGTGTTTGATATGTGAATTATGCGTGGGTCGTATGTGTTATGCGTGCTACGTGTGTGAGATGTTGTGTGTATGCGTGTCGTGTGTCTGTGTGTCTGTGTGTATGTGTGTTGTGTGCGCGTTGCGTGTGAGTGTGTGTGGTTGTGTGTGTCGTTTGTGTTGGCCGTGTTGTGTGTGATGTGTGTGTGTGTGTGTTCTCTGTGTGTGGTATGTGTGCTGTAGGTGTTGTGTGTGTGTGTTCTGCGTGTGTCCTATGAATGGTGTATGTTGTGTGGTGCGTGTATGTGTTATGCGTACTCTATGCGTGTCGTGCGTCGGGGCTCGATGTTGGGAGGATGTCTCAGGCGAAACTGCATATTTCTAAGAATCGTGTTGACAAGAGGCTCTATGTTTGGAGGCTGTCTCAGACGAAACTGCAATGTTCTCAGAATCGACCTCAAAATTATTGAGTTTGGCTTAACAAGCTAAACTTTGCACCGTGACGTCGCAATATACATAAGGAGTGCGTCCGTTTACTCAGGATGTGGAGGATGTCCCGAGCGAAACGGCCAAACAAATCCGCCGATCCGGCGTGTGAGTTGAGGGGGGGGGGGCCCGGGGTGGCTCTGCCGGGGTAGGGGGGGGGGGTCTTCCACAGATTGGGTTCGGTTGGTCGGGGTTCGGTTGGCCAAAACGGGCCCAAACGTTGCCAAGAAGCCGCCAAGACGGGCCAAGACGTTTCTGGATCGCCCAAAAATCCATCCAAGACGCCGAACATGAACCCAAGACAGCCCAAGAGGCCGCCAAGACGCCCCCAGAGGCCCCCAAGAGGTCTCCCAAAAGGGCCCCGAGCGGCCAAAATCATCGATTTCCCTTGGGAAAACCTACATTCTTAGCACGTTCGCCTCTTAGGCCGTCACAGTGTCCACAACGGCTCAAGGGGCCCTCAAAAAGGCTCCAAGACGGCCTAAGAAGGGCTTACGCAGGCCCAGGAGGCCCCCAAGACGGCGCAAGAGGGACACAGGACGGGCCCAAGAGGCGCCCAAAAGGGCTCCAAGACGGCCCCAGAAGGGCCCAAGACGACCGGGAGGCCCCCAGGAGGCCCCAAGACGCCCCCAAGAGGCCCCAAGAGGCCCCAACTCGCCCCCAAGGACCCCCCCAAAGGGGTGTGGCCGGGGTGGGTGTGCCGGGAAAGGAAAGGAGGGGGGAGGGAGGGAAGAAAAACGTTTTTAACCGACCATTAAATTGACTCGTCCCGCCCGCCACCCTGAGGAACCCCTTTCTTATTGATTTCCCCATCCCGAGTATGTTCGGGAGGGTATCCGAGACCTTCCCCAGATCGGACGGGACCCGTCCCGGGACCCTCCCCAGGACCCTCCTCGAGACCGTCCCGGGACCCTCCCCAGGACCCTCCACCGGAACTCCTCCCTGGAACCCCCGGGCACCTCCCCGGGCACCTCCCCGGAATGGAACGCGCTCTTGGATGTCCCGAGCGGTCCGGGGCGCTCCCGGCCCGTCCCGGCCGTCCCGGGCGGGGTCCTGCGCGGTGCCAGACGCGGTGACGGGCAATCCCGAGAGCGATCCTGGACAGTCCCGGGCGCCACATCTTAATCACCATCACAACCACCATCACCATCACCAGCATCATCATCAGCATCAGCATCAGCATCCCCATCACCATCACCATCATCATGATCGACATCATGGTCATTGCCATGATCAAAATCATCATCCTCCTCCTCATCATCATCAGCAGCATCATCGTCATCAGCATCATCATCAACATCAGCATTAGCATTATCATCATCATCATCATCATCATCAGCATCGCCACCACCAACACAACCACCACCATCATCATCATCATCATCATCATCGTCGTCATCATAATCATCATCATCATTATCATCATCAGCAGCATCATCATCAGCATCATCGTCATCATCATCATCATCGTCATCGTCATCGTCAGCGTCAGCGTCATCGTCATCGTCATCGTCGTCATCGTCGTCATCGTCATCATCATCATCATCATCACCACCATCATCATCATCAACATCATCATCATCATCATCAACGTCATCATCATCATCATCATCATCATCATCATCATCATCATCATCCGGAGCGCCCCGGATCGGCGGCACTGGCTGGAGGCCATTTCAATAGCGGACGACACAATAATCGTTTCTGAGCTCTACTCCCTCGGGAAAGTGTGCGCATGATAACATATGCATTTGTATAAGCATGTATAACTATGTATGGATGCAAGTATGCTTGTGTGTTGTATGTATGTGTGCAGGCATGTGTGCATGTGCATGTATATGTGTATGTAAATGTATGTGCAGACATGTACATGTGCGTGTCTGTGCAAATGCATATGTGTATGTACATGTATGTGTAGATGCACGTGTCGATGCAAATGTAGATGCATATGTATATGTATATGGATTTGGATGTGGATTTGTCTACGCATATGTAAAAACATATGCATGTCTAAATGTGTGCGAATGTGTATACGTTTATGGATATACAATGTGTGTACGTACATGTGTACGTATATGTATACGGGTACGTATGTGTATATGCATATGCATTTGTATACGTAAATAGATATGTTTATATATATATATATATATTCATATATGTATATATATATATATGTATATATAGATACAACCGTATGCAGATGTATATGTATATATATATACATATACATACATATATATAGGCGTAGAGAGAGAGTATAGAGAGAGAGCGCGAGTGCGAGAGAGACGCAAACAAAAACATACAGGGAAGAGGAGGATGATCGAGGAGGAACATCGAGAAAGACGAGGAAGAGGCACTCAGAGGCCCCCAGAAGTCTCCAGAAGCTCCCCAGAGGACACACGGGAGGCCCCCACAAGGCCTTCCGCGGAAGGTCCTCCGCGAGGCCCAGGGCCGCCCCGCCACCCAGAGGCCCGCCTTGCCCAGACCCCCCCCCTGCAGCGCGCCGCCGCGGCTGGTCGGGCACCGACGGCATCGGCCGCGGACGGGCCCGCCAGTGGGCGCGCGCCGGGGTGGCCAGCCGCGGCCGCAGCACACCCCGCGGGGCCCTCTTGGGTCACCGCGAGAGCTGCTAAGGGGATGCGGCTGGTTCGCGACGCGTTGTCGTGGGCGTTGGTTTCTGACACCGCGTGGATCTGTCAACCTTAAACGATCGCGGCTCTCTCATAGCCTACTAAGGAGCCCACAAAGGACGTACGCGCCCAGCTATGTA